TTTAGAAGATAATTCTATGCAATCACAACGGATTCGCTTTAACAACTAAAAGCAAATTTTTTTTTAACAATTAAAAGCAACGGATTTGACATGTTATAAGGATTTTTTTATCTATTTAAAAATGTTTTTTTCTATCTAACCTATCATACTGGTGCGACCAAACAAAATTTAGTCCGGTTTTAAATTCGATAACTTAGTCTACTAATATAGGTAGAATATTTTTTAAAAATTCATTTATTTCACATAGTAATAAGAATATGAAATTTTTATATTAGTCTACTGTCTAGATATTTTTTAGTTCTAAAACTGCTTATCTCATTTAGAGTGCAAATGGTTGCACAATTAGAGAAATAAAATTGGTGGAATTAAACATTCCTCTAGATTTTTACCATTTGAGTGGAACAAAATTTTGGTGGAATTGAACATTCCTCTAGATTTTTCTCTACAAATATGAGAGAAACTAGTGGAACAAAAATATTCATTCAACCTCATTATTCCACTTCCAATTTTTTCAACTTACGTTTTTCTACTTTTTCCACTTACGGAAACCATTTGGACCCTTAATTTTCTATATATTTTAAGACACACTTGTTCTCCTTCATGAATCTATTCTCTTTTTACCTTTTCTTTGCTCACATATAACATGTTAGACTATATACTAATTTTCATATTTGTAGTGAAGTTGTTCATACTTTTTAGCAAACATCAAATTTTCACTATCTAATCATATTTTCTACTTCACAATTATCATTTTAACCACTTTATTACATTGCTTCAAACATTCATCATTGTTTGGTTTCTATTTTTTTAGAATTTTCTCATATTATTTATCTATAAATTATTTATTCTTTTATGTGAACGTTTTACAAATTTTTTAAATCTATGAAATAAACATAATCTTTATCGTATATTCATATTGTTTTGTAATTAAAAAATGTATAATTTATCTATAATTTTAATCAATTTTAGTGTTGGAAATATTTATATTATTTTTTGTATCAAATTTTTTATTTTAGTTCTTGAAGTCTCTATTTATCTTTATTGTATTTTACTAATTTTTAGTTTTCGTTTTATGTAAATTTTCAGTTTTACGTGTGTGGTAATTAATAGAAAACAATAATTAAAAGATAAAAGTTAATTGAGTCATTAAATTTTAGTTTCAATGTAATTTTTTTTTTTTTWTKATTTGGATGTTTTAAAATGATGATTTGAACACCTTAAGAAAAAAGAAAACTCTCCCATTATATAATAGATATTTCAGCTAAATCTTCCACATAACTCAATTTTGAATAATCAAGAAAGATATTTAGAACTTTATCTCATCTCGCAAAATCATGAATGTTTATGTGTTTGGAAATGGATTTGTAGATGCATGTTTAGACAACATTTACTCTCAATAACATAGTTTTAAAATATTTTGAATATCACTAGTTTATGATTATAAAAGCTCATAATATCCTACTTTACTAAATACTAATACACACATGTTATCATGTATAATTACATATGCACATTTTCGAATATCCACATTATCATACGACGAAGTCGGATTATGATATGAAACGTAATACTTGTACAAGCTAGTGTGCTACAAACTTTGAGCAATATTCAAATGAACATTGGTTGGTGATAGTTCAGTTGATTGTAGAAAACTCAACGTTCTTAAAACCATACAAAATAGTTGAAATAAACCGAATATTTATTTTGGGTCTTTTAATGACACTAATTTCATTGATGAATGGAATGGATCAGAGAAGCATAATTAGTCAATCTTTTTTTTTTAATTCGACAAGTAATAACAATTATTCTATGTCAACATCACCACGTGGGGGTTGAAAAGATTTTCATCAAGTGGAATTAAACGGGAACAAGGTCAAAATTGAAGGTGAGAAAAAAACGTAAAGATTGAATTTTTTTCTAACAACAAACAAAAAGGTTCTTAAACTCAAATTTTCGCTACTATGATTAATCAATTTGACTTAAACATTGACAAACTCAATGAAACATATCCCAAGAAATATTATTATTAATCATATAATAGTCTTTCAAAACATGTTGACAATGTTTTACGATTACCCAATTTTTTTTGAAGCTTTTATATATGAGAAGACGGTATATTCAGAGAAACTTGAATAGTGAGACCATCCACTGTATATTAAAGGAGGAGCATACTTGGATTAATTTGTTTAGATGTCAAGCTCTAAATTTTTTGAAATTTTTAGTTAAGAACTAAATCTTATTATTAATTCTCTACTATACTATTACCTAAACACTCCACAATCCTAGTAATTCTTTACTATACTATTATCCAAACACTATACAACCACACAATCCTTCTAACCAAAATAATTTTTTTGATTTGTTTAAAAAATGAAAATAATTATATATCGACTAAAAACTAAATATTTGTTGCTTTCAGTTATTTCACGGATGGGATACATTTCTATACAAAATAATTGCAAAATTCATATATATAAACGAATTTTATATTTCGTATAATAATTTTTCCAATAACTATAGATGATTTTAAACTAAAACTACATTAGTTTTACTTGCGTATCACATTATCCCGCGTATAACGCGGATAACTATCTAGTTACTAAGTAAAACGGCATCATTTAGTGGTATTTCACATTTCCTTGAGCTTTGCCAAAAGGTCCTTACCAAAATGTAACCAAAAATTAAAAACCCATAACTATATAAAAAAAGCCTAAGCAGATTCAAACAAAAACCGAAACGAGATTTTGGACTTTTCAAGATGAAAACATCCGTTTGATCCCTGATTTCTGCTCAGTGGTTAGTTTAGAAGGGAACTTGATGCTGAATCTGATTCTCAAATTCCCTTTTCTTGATGGATCTTTAGGGATCGGCATGCCTTCGCCTTTCACAACCTCTTCGTACGTCGGACTGATCACATTGTCCACAAGAACGGTAAGAATTCTTCCGTCAAGAGTTGTGACCTGTGCGGTGTACCCCGTGAGAGCTTCCATGAGAGAGATCTTTTGCACTACCACAAGATCATTCCCGTCTCGTTTGTAAACGGAATGCGGTTTCTCATCTACAATGAAAACAAGATCCGATGGAATGATTCCACGCTGCTCGTTACCTTTTCCCTGGAAGGTTATCTTTGTTCCTTTTTTCCAACCAGGTTTGATATCTATCGTCAAGATCTCCTCAACCGCTGTTGGCCTCCTGCATCGAAGCAGAACGACGTTATTAATCAGCAAAAGGGCATGGAAACTATAAATTCAGTAATGTTTTTGATGCTCGTGAGAACGGAAAATGAATTTACTCTCGGACTCACTCGGTCTTTGCGAAAAGTCAGATGATCTAACAGGCGTTAGAGATAACCAAAGTGATGAAAAGAGACACCTTTAAAGTTAGAGAGTCCAAAAGATTTCCAGTTTCAAGAAAAACAGATCAAGAGAATCTATAAAGGAATGTCCTGGTTTGCTATCGGCTTCTACACTTACATCTATCATATATATGTCTCTAATCTAATCTATATAGAGCTCAAATACTAAACAAAGGTCACAGAGATCAAAACTTATACACTAGCCAAAACCCTTTTGAAAGAGAACTTCTTAAGCTGACTCCCATAGACTAACTAATATAGCTTTCACTAACATATTCTCTGGTAACTTCTGATTCAAAACCAAACTCCATAACTGCAGCTGATTAATATACATAAAGGAATTCGAAAACTAACCCGCTCGAGTCAAAAACATCACGAGAGATCTTCATCTTCTTGGTGACTCCTTTATAAATATCTTCCAAATTACAAGGCAATTGTCTCTCAATCGGAGCACCTTTCCTTACCGGATACGAGGTTTCTCCTCCTCCTCCAGTAGCAGCCCTGTACGCAGCGAAGATGTCATCGCCATACCTATAACCAGAAGGTATACCACAGTTCCTTGGGATTCCGAAAAACTCGGAGAATATATCATCTGCACTTCTTGGATTGAACCCGAAAGATGCTCCGGCGTCTGGAGGTGGAGCCTGGCTCTTTAATCCTTCTTCTCCGTATTGCTCATAGATTTCTCGTTTTTGAGGATCACTCAAAACCTTTGGAACACAATTCACAAAACAGCAAAACAACATAAGAATTTGTCTGCTAAAAAAAGCTTTAATTTTTCCCTAAATCAACGAAACTGTATGATTGCTCTAAATTCCAAGTTAGAAAACCTAAAACTAAATTCCCCAAATAGAACATAAACCTTAGAATTTGAAAGGGGTTTACATACATCGTAAGCTTCGGAGATCTGTTTGAATTTAGCTTCGGCTTCTTTTTTGCTGTTAGGGTTCTTATCAGGATGCCACTTCATAGCGAGTTTGCGATAAGCTTTCTTTAACTCATCATCATTCGCACTCCTATCAACCTGAAGAACCTTATAGTAATCGATTCCCATTGGATTCAAG